TCCATGAGGGGTCTGGATTCGACAGTTATCTTTAGGAACCTGGGGCTGCCCAATAAGCCTGGCAGAAATTGCTCTCCCTTTGGACAGCTTTCTAGAGGAAAGAGGACCCAGATAAGCCTCTCTTTGGTTGCTAGCCTCATAGACCCCTCATCTGTAAGAAGAGGTACTGGGCTACACCCCAAGCTTTGGGAGACTTACTTAAACAGACTCGAGGTTTCTTTTTCATTATTTGTGAAGTAGGTTGTGTTATTGGCAAGGCTGGTGTAACTTGTTCATAGTCACACAGCTAGTTATCAACTGCCACAACAGCAGACCCCAGGTTTTCCAATTCTACAACCCTTGCATGCTTTCAGTAACACTATGCTGCCTTCCAACTAGCACTCAGGACACCTGTATGGGTTACACACACACTTTAAAAAACCTGTAGTCCTTAGGAAGCTCAGACTATAAGCATCAAATTATAGAAAGTGATGCTGTTCAAACCTTGACCTCTGCTGGTCTGGGATAAAGATTTTCTTGGAACCCACTGCAAGCCACAAGGACATTTACATATTTACTGATTAAGTGAGCTGGATGTTTTGGTTGCTCTGATGCCATCATTAATATCTTCCCATCTAGCCAAAATGATGCAGCGATCGATAAACAGACAGCCTCTCTGAGGCCTGGAGACAGCCAAATGTATTTACCAGGCAGGGCTTTTGTTAATTAGATAAAATCCCCGGATCAATGTGTAGAGAGCACCCACCTATGCTGTAGCTAAATACATTCTGGACACCTCAATCCAGGCACATGGACACCAAGTGCCTCAAGCTGGGGCATCAGGGGACAAGAGCCAAAACAAGTCATCAGGGCCAAGTCAGAATAAATGTGTTTACCCCTCAACAAAGTCCAACCTGTTTTTCTTTCCTAACTGTTCACTGGAAAAAAAAAAAAGTTTTTCCAAAGCCATCTAGTGAACCAGTTTAGGCTGGTATGAAGGGCTTTATTTTCTAAAACCAACAAACCAGAAACCAGTAACAGTATATCAAAATAATCTCCTGATAATTAATTTTTTTTATTGTTTTGCCTTTTAGGCAGCATGGTACACAGAATGAGACAAATCAAAGACACATTTAATGGCCTAAGTGACAACTCAAGTATCTCACCAGGATGTTAACTACGGTGTGTTTTTCTTTTATTTTTATTCATTTATTTTGAAACAGAATCCCACCACTATGGACTCCTGGCTGTCCCAGAACTCCATATATAGACCAGGCTGGCCTTAAACTCACAGACATCCACTGGCCTCTGCCTCTCAAGTGCTGGAATCACAGAAGTGTGCCACCACACCTGGCTAACTGAATACATCATGTTTAAATCAGACTTCAATCTCTTCCCCAGCCCAGTCTCCTCCAGATCTTCATCTCAACAGATGCTCAAGCCAGAAATGGAAATTCATCATTTCTTCTTCTTGAATTAAACACACCAAACCCTGTTCATTCATTCAGCATCATTTATGTACTGTGTATCAGCCTCAAAACCAAGGCATGCACATTTGTCTAACTCTTACCACATCCCATCAGGTTCAGGTTTACTTCCTCTATCTGTGCTGTTAACATCTTAGTTTCTAAGCCACATCATCTATTTGGAACTCTTCTGGCTGCTTTTCTTTTTGTTTTTTTTTTCTTTTCTTTTGATGATGGGAATTGAACCCAGCTTTATAGATGCTAGGCAAGTGCTCTGCCACTGAACTATATCACCAACTTACAGTTTTTCAGTCTAGGTTCCTACAACCAGCACAGCTGTCTACCAATTTGTTCTCCATTGAACAACTAAAATCTTTTAAAATTATAATCTCTATCACATCTATTTGTTAGTATATACCTTTGCTTCTCATACATACCCTGACTTTAAAAAGTTAACATGGCCTACAGATCCAGTGTGGCATGGTCCTTCCTTAAAACTGTCCAACTTTGTTTCATACCACTCTCTTCCTTCCCAGAGGCCAGCCATATCCTCTGTGCTTCTCCCTCAGGACTACTGTTGTAGTCCAGGTTCGCCTCAAATTCATCATCCTTCTGCCTTTAGAGGGCTAGGATCACAGGCAGGTACCAACCACTTCCAGTTCTACGTCTTTTCTGATCCATCAAAGGAAGGAATCGTGCCTGTTCAGATGTCCCTGGTGCCAAGCAAAGGACCAACAAATGGCAGATACTCCATAAATGTTTGTCAAGTGAACGCGTAAACTATACAAAGAAAGAGGGCCAATGCTAATTCCACCAGGCTCCTTTCATCAGAGCCTATTTGAGCTGATGAAGGGCTGCACTGGGCAATTAGCAGAGGCCCAGCTCTCTGTCCAGAGAAGGGTAACAGGCAGGATGTTGTCTATCAGCTGTGTGATCTGAAGGTAAGGTGATCGCCACTGGAGAACAGCAGGTGTCCCGTGTTCCCACCCTGACAGGCCCCACATGGCTCAGCTTGAGCCCAGACAGATGTGTTGTCCTGTGCCCTCAGTCTCGGGTGAGCAGCTCCAAGTCTAGAAGCTAGGCTCAGGGTGGGGCTGACCCGGAAACAGGGCCACCTGGCTCACTGCTGACAAGTAGGATAGGAGCCAGCATCCAACTTCTGAAGAGCTGGGGTATACAAGGTTTAAGAGCCTCAGGGAGAGCCTCAGGGAGGGGGAAGGAAAGAGGAAGAGCCCCAGCCTTCCTCTGTGGGCTCAGGGAATGCTTCTGTTGTAAAGTCAGTCACATACAGCAACACTGTGCTGGGGAACAGAGAGAGTGGGGCACCAGACCTTGCTCTTGCCCTTGGAGAGGTATACAACCCAGAGACTTAGGTAGGGTAGTTCACAAACTTCTTTTGTTGTTTTGGTTTTTTTGAGACAGCTTCTTGCTAACTTTGAACCTGCTATGTAGCTGAGGCTGGCCTTGAACTACAGATCTTTCCAGCCAAGGCTATGCTGACCCTGTCTCAAAATGGTCAGGATGGAGCATGGTGGCACATGCCTTTAATTCCAGCACTTGGGAAGTAGAGGCGGGCAGATCTCTTTGAGACTGAGGCCGGCTCAGTTTACACAGTGCATTCCAGGCCAGGGAGGAAGGAAGGAGAGGGGGAAAAAAAAGGAAGGAAACGAGAGAAAGAGGGAGGGAGAGAAAAAAAAAAGGAAGGAAGATATGTAGTACCAGGCATGACTGTACAAACCTGTAACCACAGCACTTGGGAGGCTAAGACAGGACAATCATGAGTTTTAGACCAGTCAGGGCTAAACATCATGACTCTATCTCAAAACAAAAATCAAAAGGCCTGAGACTGTAGCTCATTTGGTAGAGTGCTTGCCTGGCATGCAGGATTCCATCTCCAGCACTCTATAAAACCGGGCGTGGTAGTGCAGGGCTTGTAATTCCAGCATCCGGGTGAAGGCGAAGGATCCAAAGACCAGGGTCATGCTTGGCTAAAAAATGAATTTAAGGCTAACCTGGGCTACCAGAACCTTATCTCAAAAAACCCCTGATATATTTCAAAGAGCTAAAATAACCAACCCTTGAGGGGCTCTATGGATGGAATAAGCTCAACTCCTTAGCTCTCCAAACCTGCTACCTATTCTGGGCTGATGGGTATGTGAGGCTGTGTGGGGGCAGACTGGCAGGCCTTGGCAGTTACCAGTAGGTGATTCCAGGGTCAGAATAGGCAGCAAGAGAGCTTCTACTCCTGGGTCCCCTGTCATGCGGTGGTAGGAAGGAGGCATGTGTTTCTGGGGGTTGAAGATGCCACACGCAGCCTGCAGTTATGAATGGCTCTTATAACAACGAGATGACATCTGTGCTTGGTTTTTAAGATGCATCATCGCATGTTTATTAAACTATTGCTCCATCATATTTATTTGGCTACAAAACAACTCCCGGCTTATACTTCCAAAAGTGGTTTATTAAAAACTAAGCCTTGAACATTAATACTCAAAAGCACCCTTGAGAATCAATAATAATGCTGCAGATAAAATGAAAGGGAATCAAAGCAGTAAGTCTTGGTGGAGCCATGGCTGCCTTTCCACACTTTCTTACATGTTCAGGCAGTAGAGTGGGGAAGGGCACCAGGGTCCACGGCATGCAGGGATAGCCACCCCAAACATCTACCTCCTGTCTAAAATTCAAACAAGACACTTGGCATGTAGCCCATGCTGGTAATCCCAGCACTCAGGAGGCTGAGGCAGGAGGATTGAAGTCAAGGCCAGCCTGGATTACATAGCAAGAGCCTGTCTTAGAAAAACAAAGGGCTAGAGAAGTAACTCAGTAGTAGAGCAGTTGCCAAGTATGCATGAGACCATCAGCTCAATCCCCAACATGGCAAAAACAAAAACAGGGATGTAAGGGCAGGAAAGGGGAGGGTTCTATGGCCACTTAGATCTATTCAAAGGGCAGAAAGAGGCCAAGCTGAAGCTGAGCCCATAGGGGTGTAGCTGCTCTAAACAGCCCCCAAATGATGCCTGGTGCAGCCCTAGATACACTATACTCTGTCCCCTGCACTAGCTTTCCTGCTCAACAGTCTCTCCTAGCACAAGTTCAATAAGCCTCAATCCACCCTCTAGTGGCAGGGAAGGGACTGAGCCAGTGAGGCTAGAAAACTGAGTCTGCTCTGTATGGGTACCCCAGTCCTGTAGGCAGGCCTTCCTAGCCACAGAAGACCTTTTGGTACAAAGATCTAAACCCCAAGCCTCCCCAGAGGTGCCCACCCATACCAGGTCCAGGCAGTAAGTGGTAACACATGGCCGCTTCCACAGAGGAAGAAGAACGAACTAGAAGACTCAAAGGCTTCATAGGATATGGAGGACTCCAAGCCATCACAGTCAAAGACTCAGGGATGCTTAGGGGCTATCTCACTACCTAAAATATAGTCTGACCTGGGCCAGGGAGCCTAGGCGAGTCTGTGGCTACAAGTGAAGGCTCAGAGAGGGTTTCCTCTGAGGCAGAGGAAACCACACCATGCTCAGCCCTCTTGTGGAGGATAGCAAGACTGACACTCACCTTCTGACTTCTTGCACATTGTTGGCACGGGCAGCTTCCATCAGGGCTGCATCTGAAGAGAAAGGGGGCACTGGTCAGACCCCTGGCCAGGACCTGACACCCCAGGAGGACGGGAAGGGTGCCGTAAGACAGTGGAAGTACCTCAGAAACTGGGGTTCTACCAAGTGAATGGCCACATTGAAAGACTAACCATCCCCTTCCCATGTGGTAACCCCTTGCCTCTGCTCCACCCTGTAGGGGATGCAGGGGATGCTGTGCAGACAACCTACTATTCCCAGGGGTTATGGCTCTGACTGGTTTCTATTACCAGCACTGTTATTAATCGCACCCCACCTTGTCCCACTTTTCCCCCCAACCCCAGTTCTTTAGCTCAGTTCTGAATCATGATGTCACAGATCACAAACCCAAAGGGAAGGAAAGGATGAGAGGGGGCTGGGGTATGGGTCTAAGAATGGAAAGAACCTCAATCAGGAGTCATGAAGATCAGGTCTCCAACCCACTCTGCCACCCACTCTCCATGTAGCTGCTGCAGCCCTCCCCTCTCAACCAGCTCCCCGTTTATGGAACAGAGACAATAGTCCTCGCTGTCAGTCTCACAAGGATGCTGAAAACTCTGTAAAATCCTTGGTGCCAAGTCCAGAGAAGGGAGGCCCAAAGCAGGCCAGGTCCCTTGGGACTCACCAGGCCTAGCCAAAAAAGAAAAAAAAAGAAAAAGAAAAAAAAAAAAGCAATGCTGAGCCTGGCCTGGCTGTTGGCACCACCTTGTGGCCACAAGGAAAAACCTTTGGAATTGGAAAAACTCAGGAGTCAACAGCAGGGGCACAATTATTACACATGGTCCAGAAGCACCCATGTTGGGCACTGGCCTGACTCCTACCCAGGCCAGCCCCAGGAGCACTCAGTAGCCATGAGACTCACCAGAGAAATCCAGTGAAGGCACCAGGGTTAAGGGCAGGCTGACCCAGGGTTCAGGTATAAGCCTGATCGGCCTCAACATGTGTATAAACCAGTTTTTTTTTGGTTTTTTTTTTTTTTTTTTTTTTTTTTTTTGGTCTTTTTGATAGGGTCTCCCTGTAGCCCCAACTGGCTTAGAACTCACTATATGTAGACCAAGTTGGACTCGAACTCACAAGATCCACCAGTCTCTGCCTCCTAAGAACTGGGATTAAAGGTGGACATCACCAGTTCTTTTCAGAACTTTGAGCCTCCACTCCACCTCCTGGCCTAGGCCTAAAGGTCCTCTTCCCATCTTACCTCACCCAATAGTTCTCAAGCATACATCTAATTGTACACACAGCCTCCAGTTAGAAGGGAAACACCCTTCCTCGGAGATGGCTCTAATCTATTCTTCCCATACTCTCCAAGGTCACAGAGGGAGGACTGAGCTGAGATTAAAACCTGGACCTTCCCAGCTCACAAACCTCCCGTGGCTTTCTGCTCTTCTCTTGGCTCCCGAAGGGTCCAGTTTCTGGAATACTGCACTAAGGGACTAGGCTCAAAACCCCCAGGCCGGGGGATACTGCTGCTGGCAAGTCACAAGGGCTGGAACTGTTCATAGTCTGGTCATTCTCTATTTTAGTAAGTAGACCCTGGTCTCCACGATGAAATTCACATGTCCTAAAGTTTAGCGCGGGGCTCCCAAGAATCTCAGGCAAGACTTTGTATACCTTTCTCCAGTTCATCTATATACACTGGCTGCTGGACATTCCCTGCTCATGAACCTTCCTCCCATGGCTCTCCACTGCTACAGAATCCCAAACCCTCCTACCTGGCATGCAGGCCCCTCTTTATTCCAAAGACCTCATCTTCCACTCTTGCTGGCCACATTGCTAGCCAGCCCCTCCACACCAGGTTAACTGAAGTCCTGGTAAGAACACAATCTAACCTGTGGCACATTTCTAAGTACCTTCCATGCGCCACACGACGGTGGAGGGATGATGCGCAGTATCAGGGGAATTTCCTGGTTATCAACCTGATGAAGATGCAGCCCCCTTCAGAACTCAAGGTGAGGTGAGATGCCCCATCTTCTAAGGATCTCCAGTCCTCCAGGACAGCTTTCCTGACCCCACTAACTCTCGGATCCTCCAGAATACTCGCTAGCCCTGCACCTAACTTCCTGCACTGTCCCCTTGACTGGCTTTGCATTAAATTAGGGCTTCCTGGGGCTGGAGAGATGGCTTAGGGGTTAGGAGCACTGACTGCTCTTGCAGAGGACCCAACCACCTGTAACTTCAGTTCCAGGGGACCCAACACCTTCTTCTGGTCTTCAGAGTCATTGTACACATGGGTGCACTTACATGCTGGCAAAACACAAACATAAAACAAATTTTTTTAAAAAATCAAAAATCAAAAAATTAGGACTTCCTACACTCCTACCCCCGTGGGGCAGAAAGAGAGAACTTCCCTCCACTCCTCAAAAAAAGCTGGAAATGATAAAAATCATTGAATGCCTAAGCTAGACGGGCCCATTGGGTCTATTTCGACACCCTCATTACTAGAAAGGAAACTGAGGACCAGTGAGGAGGAACAAGAGTCCAGATTCATAATGGGAGTGAGACAAGACTGAAGCAAGATGCCCAAGGTTCTCATTCCTCATCCAAAGCCCTTCCTTTCCAGGTGGCCACATCCTACTGAATAAACAAGGCAGTCTCCAATCCTGTTCAACAGTTTCAGAGCTTGAGATGCATGGAATTCATGGACAACATGAACCATGTTCCTCAAGGGCAACTGAGGACTGAGTGCTTGGGCTCAGGCAGGTCACAGGTCTGGCTCTCTGCCTACCCTTTCAGCTCAGCTCCATGCACCAAGGTAAGATGTCAATTGGGAGCACTGGAGAGATGGTTGAGCAGTTAAGAGCACTGGCCTCTCTAGCAGAGGGCCCATGTTTGGTTCCTAGCACTCTCAGGGCACCTAACACCTGTCTGCAACACCAGTTCTAGGGAATCTGATGCCTTCTTCTGATGCGGTGGCAGGCACTGTGTGCATGGAATGCACTTACATACATGCAGGCAAAACACTCATATACACATGAAATAGAAATAAAAATTTTAAAAAGGGCTGGGTGTGGCGGCGCAGGCCTTTAATCCCAACACTGGGGAGGCAGGGACAAGCAGATCTTTGTGTTCAAGGCCAGACTGGTCTACAGTGAGTTCTAGGCCATCAGGATCAGGATGTTGAAGCAAGAGAATCAGAAGTTCAAGATCATTCTTTGCTACCTGGTGAGTTCAAGGCCAGCCTCAGACTCTGTCTCAAAAAAAAAAAAAAAAAAAAAAAAAAAAAAAAAAAAAAAAAAAACTAAAAATAAAAAAGGGATGCCAATCTGGGTCAATTACCTCCACCACTATCCTATCCCTCCTACCCCACTTCTCTAAGACCCCACCCCCATGCCCAGATCACCTTAAGTGTGACACTAAGCATAGCAAAACTCGAAGGAACTGCTAGACAGACTTAGGCAGCTGAACTCGGAGAAGTCAAAAGAACAGACTTGTACACAGGTGCGCTCACATACATGCAGGCAATACACTCATACACATAAAATAAAAATAATAAATATTTTAAAAAAAAAAAAAGAACAGACTTGTAAGAGAGCTGAGAAATCACCCTTCACTATATAGTGGAGGAAACCAAGGCTAGAGAAGAGTTAAGGGGTCAAACTGACATTGGACCACGTCTCTTCCTTTCTCAGGCCACTGGAGTTTTTTGCAGACCTTTTGAAAGACTAATGAATTAGAAAGAATATTGATACATAAAAGGATCAGGCTGGCCAGGCACTTGGGAGGCAGAGGCAGGAGGATCTCTGTGAGTTCCAGGCCAGCCTGGTCTACATAGTGAGTTCCCCAGGCTGCAATTGCAAGTTTGATAAATTTGATCCAATGTTCCCATTGTACAGATAGACAAAGTGATGGATGCCCAAAGAGGGAGACAAACCTATGATGGGAAACTATACAACTCCAAGCAGTGAGCTCTCCAGAGCAACACACTTCCGTGGTACCAAATGCTATGTGGATCTCTCTAAGGGTGAGGTTAAGAGAGACTAAATTTATAAGCACCTCCCACCGCTTCCCCCACCTCTCCCTTGAACCCAGTCTGGCCCCATAATCACCCTTATTAGATGGATTCTTGGTGTAGCAGTGAACTATCAGCGCCGTGGCCAAGGCCCACACGCCCAGTCCGGTCTTGTTGGAGACCCCATTCCAGCTGTCCTGTCCGGGGAGTATTTCTTCTTTGGGGCTAGGACGGCGTCCCCACGTGGCAGCTGTCAGGCACGCGATCTCGCTACGTTCTCTCCGGCGCCCCCGGGTGGCAGCCCCTGGTCCGGGGAACAAGACAGACGCTGTTCCAGGGCACCCCCAGGCGGCCGCTCTCAGACACTGCGGCTCCCCGCGGTCTCCAGTGGTGACGCTTCCACAGCTTTGGAGAAATGGAGACCTGAGTAACCGGAGGAGCCGCGGCGCCGATGCCTTTCCCCTCAACACCAGGGACCCCAGCATTATGACAGCTGCTTCAATAACCCCCTGGCGCCAGCCCCTGTGCTAGCCACGACCAACATGGCTGCCGCGGCGCGTTCGAAGACGCCGCGAACGAGGTGGGATTGCGCACTACCTCACGGGAGTGGTAGTCCACAACCCCAGATCGTTCCCTAGCTGGAGAATGAATAAACTACATTTCTCTGAGGGCTGCGGGACGACGTCACAATGACCGCTGACTTAGGGGAGTCCAGAGCATGTTGGGAAATGAAGTTCGAGAGGGAGGATAGGGCAAAAAACGAAAATGCTCTGGAGGGGCGTGGGATTACAAAGATTTGAGAGCAGGTAATGCAAACCTGTAGATAAGGGAGGGGAAACCCAGAGAATCGGGAGTTCAAGGTCATCCTCAAGAGGGCAGCCTAGCTGTGTGAAAAATAAAAATAAAGCTGGGCGTGATGACACACGTCTTTGATTCCAGCACTCGGGAGGCAGAGACAGGTGGATTTCTGTGAGTTCAAGTCCAGCCTGGTCTACATAGTGTGTTCCAGGTCAGCTGGGGCTATAGGGAGATCCTGTCTCAAAAAGACCAAAAATATATATAAATAAATAAAAATAAAGAAGACTCGAAACCCAGAACTTCTCTCCTAGTTGAAACATGTGATGAAATATCTGACCAGTGTTAAACTGGATTTTTAGCAGAAACTTGTGCCTTCCCCCCCTCTTATTTCAGGTTGGAATGGCTTTTCAAAAAATGCCCAGGTGTCCTAGTTTGTTTCTCCATTGCTGTGACAAAATACTCTGACCAGTGTTAAACTGGATTTTTAGCAGAAACTTGTGCCTTTCCCCCCTCTTATTTTAGGTTGGAATGGCTTTTTAAAAAGATGCCCAGGTGTCCTAGTTTGTTTCTCCATTGCTGTTGCAAAATACTCTGACCAATACCAACTTGGGGAGGAAAGGGTTTATTTTATCTTACATATCCCCCCCACCCCCCCAGTTCATCAGAGAGCCCAAGGTAGGAACTCAGGGCAGGAACCTGGAGGCAGGAGCTGGCACACAGGCCATGAAAGAACACTGCTTACTGGCTTGCTCCCCTGGCCCTGCTCAGCCTGCTTTTTTATGCAACACAGGCCCACTTACCCACTTGCCACAATGGGCTGAGCCCTCCGATATCACACAACAATCAAGACGATGCCCCACAGACATGGCCACAGGCTAGTTCAATGAAGGCAATTCCCCAACTGAGGCGCCCTGAACCCAGGTGTCTCAAGTTGACACTAAAGCTATCCAGCACACCAGGGTAACCAGTACACTTGAAATAGGTGCACCTTTTATTTTGCTTTCCCATGTTAATTATTTTCAAAGGGCTTTCAAATAAGTTATCTGATCCTCAGGGTAATTGCTTACAGGGGCTGGGCAAGGATGGTTTCTCCTGTCTAGAGCAAAGAATTTAGATTGAAAGTTGAAATGATTTAACGGGCATGGGAGTAAGACAATCTTAAAAAAAAAAAAAAAAGTTCTGTCAATAAATCACCTGGCATAAGCCAGAAGTGGTGGCACAGGCCTTTAATCCCAGGAGGCAGAGACAGGCAGATTTCTGTGAGTTCAAAGCCAGCCTAGTCTACATATCAAGTTCCAGGCCAGCTGGGGCTACAAGGAGACCCTGTCCCCCAAACCAAAAACAAAGAAGCAAACAAAAAATAAATCACTAGGCATAAAGCTCAAATCTCTAGTTCTGTGCTCATGCTTTATTATAGGAGCCTTTGCTTCCCCTTTTCCAGAGTGAACCCACAGGAGGCAAAGAAGGAAGGTTTCCACTGCCGGTTCTGTCTCCTCTCCTGTTTTCTAGGTCTGCTCACACTTTGCATTATTGGAGTCTCACCTGCATGCTCCAGTTAAAATGTGAGGTATGGCCTCATCTTTCTTACCTCGAATAATTTTTCTTCACAGCATTTATTACCACTTGATGTAACAAATATTTGATATTGTTCTTAAGGACAATGTGAGCCCATAAGATAAGGGCTTTCTATAAAATCAAAACTTGCAATTATAGAGAATTTTTTTTAAAAAAAGACAGAATCTGGACCACAGTCTAAACCCTGAACCTGCCACTGCAGTCATCAGATGCTAGAATTTTGTTATATTTGCTCCCAAGCTTTTTCTTTGAGAAATAAAACATTATTGACAGAATTGAACCCTCATGTGCCTGCCCTTCATCAGTTCCAAAAAGTGCTAACCTGGGCTGGAAAAGATGGCTCAGTGGTTAAGAGCACTGATTGCTCTTGCAGAGAACCCAAGTTTGACTCTCAGCACCCACATGGCAGCTAACAACTGTCCTAGCTCCAGTGCCAGGGGATCCAATGCCCTCTTCTGACTACTGCAGACATTGTATGACTCATGTACACTTACATACAAGCAAGCAATACAGTCATACACATTAAAATTTAAATTTTAAAAATAGCATTTAATAAATCCAGATCATTGATGATGGAACTAGAACTTTCCTAGGCAGCTGGGTGTAGGTGAGGCTGGAGCAGGCCTGTCTCCTCTCTGAATGGTAAGCCCCAAGTTCAAGGCTCTGACCACCTGGGGGAGGGGCTGAGTTGGGTGGAGCGCGATGACAAAGCCACTGGGGCATGCTTCAATCCAGGTGATTTTCTTTTGTCTTAAATGCTATTTTTTTTCTACTAATCACAGAGGAAGCTTTTGCTGTGTCTGTGTTTGCCTGACCTGTAGTTCTCTTTACTTTTAGCTCATCAGTGTGACTGTTTTCAGATTGTCTCATTTAAGTAACATTAACTTTAATCTTTGACTTTTGAAATGTTTACTTACAGTGCTGTCGTGAACACTCATGTGCACACTTAAAAGTGGACATATTTTCAGTTCTCTGGGTAATATACCTAGTTGTGGAATTACTACAACAAAATGTACAATTTTACATACTGTTAGAGTGTCTGAAGATTAGTTTTTCCACACCCTTACCAACACTTGTCATTATCTGTCTTTTTATTACAGTCATCCTAGTGGGTGTGAGGTGTGGTTTTTATTTGCATTTCCCTGATGGCCAATAATGTTGACTAGTATTTTCTGTGCTTATTGGCTATTCACCTATCTTCTTTGTAAAAATGTCTAAGTTCTCTGCCAACGTATGGGGTTTTTTTCAGTTGAATTATGAGAGTTCTTTGTCTAAGTTCTGGATATCATTTTCTAGCTAGATACATGATTTCCAAATATTTTATCTCATTCTTTGAGTTATATTTTAATATTCTTTTTAATATTAATCCTTTAATCCCAGCACTCAGGAGGCAGAGGCAGGTGGATCTCTGTGAATTCAAGGCCAGCCTGGTCTATATAGTGAATTCCAGGCCAGCTGGGGCTACAGGGAAACCCTGTCTCAAAAAAGACCAAAAAAAAAAGATTTTTTAATTTATGTGTTTGTGTGCCTGTGTGCCGGTGTGCAAGTGCATATGGATGCCTACAGAGGCCAGAAGAGGATGTTGGATACCCTGCAACTGGAGTTAGTTTGTTGTGAGCCACCCAATGTGGGTGCTGGGAACTGAAATGCTGGTCCTCTGAAAGAATAGCAAGCACCCTTAACCATTGAGCTATCTCTCCAGTTGCTATGTTTTTGGGGGTTTTTGTTTTTGTCTTTTTGACACAGTCTCCCTGTATCCCCAGCTGGCCTGGAATTCACTATGTAGACCAGGCTGGACCTTGATCTCACAGAGATCCTCCTGCCTCTGCCTCTGAGCGCTGGGATTAAAGGTGTGCACACCTATTCCCCCCCTAAGTTTTTGTTTGTTTGAGACAGGTAGCCTTGGCTACATTATCTTAAATAATATCTTTAAAATATTTTATTTATTATTTTTATTTTATGTGTTTGAGTGTATTGCCTGCATGTGTATGTAAGTGCACCTGTGCCATACAATGCCCGAGGAGATCAGAAGAGGGTGTTGGATCCCCTGGAACTGGAGTTAGAATGGTAATTAGCTGCCATTGGGTGCTGGGACTCGAACCTGGGTCCTCTGTAAGAGCAGCCAGTGCTCTTAACCACTGAGCCACCTCTCCAGCCCCAAATAATATCTTAAAACATAATAAATCATGCCAGGTATGGTGGTGCATGCCTTTAATCCCAGCACTTGAGAGGGAGAGGCAGGCAAATCTCTGTGAATTTGAGGCCAATCTGGTTGACATAGCAAGTTCCAGGCCAGCTGGGTCTACAGGGAGACCCTGTCTCAAAAAGAAAACAAAATATAATAAGTCAAAATATACACCCATGCAAAAATAGAGAAACACAGGGCTGGTGAGATGACTCAGCAGTTAAGAGCACTGACTACTCTTGCAGAGGACCTGTGTTTGAATCCCAGCCCCCATATGGTGGCTAACAACTGTCCCTAACTCCAGTTCCAGGGGATCCAACGCCCTTTTCTGCCATCTGAGGGCATTACACAACATGGGTGCACTTACACACATGCAGGCAGTACACTCATACACACAAAATAAAAATTAATAAAATATCAAAAAAGTAGACAAGCACACATTATTGTTGGAGATTTAAACTCCTCAGGCAAAAAATTTTAGTAATGACATAAAACCCTTGAAAACTATCAGTGGACTTCACCTGATTGACCTTACATCACTAATATACAAATTATAGAATGGTCAAATGATCACCACAGTGGCCGTAAAATACTGTCAATAAATCAGTAGGAATGAGAGAAAAGTAAGTCCTCTGGCCACAGTAGAACTTACTAGAATCATTAACAGCATGATCTTGGAGGTTCCCAGATATTAGGAAATTAAACAATACACATCTATATGACACAGGGATCAATGAAGAAACCATGAAACTGTAAAATATTCTTAACTGAATTATATGTTTTAACAGAGTGTTATAATGCCAAATCACAAACAAAGAAGGAAAAAGATAAATAGATCAAACCCCATCAAAATCTAAAAAATGTTGTTCTTCAAAGGACATTATCAAGATATTGGCTGGGCCTGGTAGCACATGCCTTTAATTCTAACACTTAGGAGGCAGAGGCAGGTGCTCTCTGAAAGTTTGAGGTCAACCTGATCTATCTAGTGAG